TGCAATTCCACAGAGGTAGCAACGTAACAGAGACAATGTTCCAACATGCACATAATGTATTCCAATGTTCCCCTACACGAATGCCCACTGACACTGGTGGCAATCCGTTTGTCACAATCGATGATTATAATACTGAACGTGCGTTTGAGCACATATTTTCCCTTTCCAGCCGAACGGGATTCTTCTCGCCTTCGTTTTAATGTCACGCGCCTCGCCTCGTGCGTGCCAACGTTTGAAACACGAGGAAGACGATGCACTGACCGTGTCATACCTCTAGAGCATTGGGGCGCTGCGGTGGCTAGGAGATGTTAACTACCTCGCCTGGTATACAGGAGGTCGGGGGTTCGATCCCGACCCTGACGCCTGCTGTATATTTGGAGTTTGCGGTGTCTCCCTCTCTCATCATCATCACGGTGGCTAGGAGATGTTAACTACCTCGCCTGGTCTACAGGAGGTCGTGGGTTCGATCCCGACCCTGACGCCTGCTGTGTATTTGGAGTTTGCGTGTCTCTCTCACTCATCATCACGGTGGCTAGGAGATGTTAACTACCTCGCCTGGTCTACGGGAGGTCGTGGATTCGATCCCGACCCTGACGCCTGCTGCTGCTGTATATTTGGAGTTTGCTTTTTCTATCTCCCCGTGGTCACGTGGATTTTTTTTCTTCAGGTCCTCCAGTTTTTCCCTCCACGTTTAGAATCAACATCACGCGTTCAGAGTGTTTGGCTGCTGCTAAACATTTCCACATCGGTGATGATGATAAGCCACTTCGTTGAGCTTCTGAATGCCAGCTACACAGCTCAGTGGGGCCTGACACTGGTCAAATAAAGCAAAGTTTAGGCGCAGTGTTTCTCAAACTTGTTTGGCCCGCAGACCACTCAGCCGATGTAAATATTTCCACGGATGACCACCCCGCCCGCACCCCTGGTGACACAACTCATTAACCTCTCACTCTAAATACCACTCGTAAGAAGTGATGCTTAACACCGGAACATAACAAACGGAGCTTTTTGTTAAACGCAGCTGTACGGTGTTTTTTTTTTTAAGGTGGGGAATTTAACTGTTAGGGCTACGTTGGTTTAGCTGTTACCTAACTTCACGAATGAAACATCACAAGTTAAATACTGTGTTTATTAATATCCGAAACAAAAGGCATGGTAAACGTTGTTCAATTATTGTCCCGGATCAAGGCTCTCGGGCCCACGTGGACGATCGTCGCGGGCCACGTGGTGGTGCGTGGAACAACACTCTGAGAACTACTGCCGGAGACCACGGTCTATGTCAACGCCTTACGTGTCCTATGACGACAACAACCGCTGCCGGTTGGCACTGTGTGGCGGTGACGTCAGCACGGCGCCCGTGCCAGGCTAGATGCGCTTCGAGGCTATCACGTGAAAAGTGTCGACGGCGACGCTGCTGGCAGGAGATCACGGGACAGACCCCAGAGGTGGTGCCTTGGGGTTGGCTGAACGAGATCAGCGGCAGATGCCACCGGCTTTGCTCTGTCCTCCTCCGCCTCCAGCTTGTGTTCAGCCGGCTAAACATCAGCAGGTAGCAGTACCGGGTGAAACTAGTGCGGGGCCTGTAGCATATGTTATAAAGGGGCCCTAAATGAAAAATATATAAATATTAAAACACAATTTTGTTTACTTGCATAGTAAAGTAATATAATGTTTTTTTTCATTTGCTATACAGCCAAATAATACGACAAATCGCTAACCTTAAACACCCAGTCGTTCGTAAAAGTTGAAGGCGGTATAGTACTATAGTAATAGAGCAAGTGCAGAATCACTGAACCGGAATTAATAGCTTGAAAGCGTTTAGCGCGGGGCCCTTGAAAGTAGGGGGTCCGTAGCATGTGTAGCTACGCACACAATGTCGTACCATGTCCGACCGCATAGCCGCGTTTGGGTGAGGCTAGACGAGGCTCAAAAGAAAGCTGTCTCTGGTGTGGACAATCAGTTTCAAGGACAATGCATATATTGTTTTTCGTTTGCATTTTTACCACAAGTATTGTGGTTAATGCAGACATGATTCCTTGTAAAAACAAGGTTTCAGTTTTGTTGCCAGAAAAAAGGGGAAAAACCCTATTCTTATATTTTGGTACTGGCAAAGGAGGTCTAAAGATGTTATTGTGAATGTTTATTATGATTATTACTACCACAATTCATTATATGAATAGATTCAATGTTAGGCATGTTTGTAATGTCTTATAATGATGTTGCTAGTGTTGCACTTTCTGATAAGAGTTTTCATCATCGTCATCATCTCGAACCTCGCGCTTGATCAATGCACTGCTGGATGACACAATACATATAAACTAAACTACGAACTGTTTTATTTTACCAGCTAAAGCCCACTGAGCTACGTAGCTCTTTTGCAGAAGCGACCTGGCCACAAACTATAACTCAACGAATTGGCTGATGATGTGGAAATGTATAGCAGACAAATACCCTAAAAGCACGTGGATTCTAAATGTGGAGGGGAAACACCGTAGGACGTGGAGAAAAACCCACGCGACCCACGGACAGAAAGAACCTGAAAACTCCAAATTATACAGCAGCAGCAGGCGTCAGGGTCGGGATCGAACCCACGACTTCCTGCATACCAGGCGAGAGATTTAACATCTCCGAGCCTCGGCCGATTCCGATAATAATAATCAGTAAATCGTCCCGGCACCTGCAGACAAGCTGGATGTGCATTGCCCCGTCCTGTGTGAGGTAGTGTGTGGGGTAGTGTGTGGGGTGGTGTGTGGGGTGGTGTGTGGGGCAGCAGTGTGTGGGGCAGCGGTGTGTGGGGCAGCGGTGTGTGGGGTGGTGTGTGGGGTGGTGTGTGGGGTGGTGTGTGGGGCAGCAGTGTGTGGGGCAGCGGTGTGTGGGGCAGCGGTGTGTGGGGTGGTGTGTGGGGCAGCGATGTGTGGGGCAGCGGTGTGTGGGGCAGCGGTGTGTGGGGCAGCGGTGTGTGGGGCAGCGGTGTGTGGGGCAGCGGTGTGTGGGGCAGCGGTGTGTGGGGTGGGGTGGGGCAGCGGTGTGTGAGGTGGTGTGTGGGGTGGTGTGTGGGGCAGCGGTGTGCTGCAGGGCTGCTGAACCGTGTCACCATGCCCCATCCTCACAGCAGCGGCGGCTTCTGGCTGCTAAGCCATCGCACAAAGACGGCGGTCACGGCAACGCCACGCGCTTTCTGATGCGCTTCTGCGGCCGTCTGGAACGCCTCTTCCTTCCGACACGAGGCAGCCACTGGAGTTATGCGCATGCGAATGCACATGCTCAGTCAACTTTCAAAGACAATGCGTATATTTATCAGCGCATGTTTGTTTGCATCTTTTGCCACAACCACGTGTGGTTAATTGCAGACGTGATGGCTTGCACCAGGTATCTGCTTGGTGAATAAACACCTTGACACCGACTGTTTGATTGCCGGAGAGGGGTAAACAAAGACGATTCTTATTGCTTCGACATTCTCGTCTGTTCAGCGGCTCTGAGGAAATGCACTGGCGTCATTTGACAGCCGCTCGTGTGACGTGGGAAATGCGATCGATCGATCCGATGCCCTCGCCGAGTGCGTCCATCGTCCGCGAGGCCACGGTGGCTCGCGAGGAGTGTCCCCTGGGTCGCTCACCAGGGCGTGCGGGGCGTTATCCACGTCTGGGGCTTTATTACAGCAGGGCGCGTCGCAACAAGAGCAGAGACGCCGTTGTATGTTTAACGATGATAACCCCCATGCCTTCATGTATACAGAAGTATATTTTTACAATTTTTTTTATTACCACAGAATTTTTCACAGTATAATATATCGTTATTTTCACAGTTAAAATTAATGCAAATGTCAGGCATCAAATCAGCCGATAGGACCATCAAATTGCAATCCGGTCACAATCTGCTGCTTACACCGTCGATTATATTGCCCCCAAAAGATCATTTTTGTTTTGGTTTTTTCTCCATTTTAAAATTATCATTCCCACCTGGTCATTTATATTGACAAATACTGCATATATACACACGTTATATAGGGGGCACATTGTCTAGCTGGAGCCTTGTATGCAAACGCATGGATTATTATTTGTATAAAAGCTTTCAGGATGCGTAAACGAGAGTTTTCCACAATCAAAGCAGCAGACTGCAGAGGGGGGGGGGGGGGGGAGACGGCGTTTTGTTTTCCGACACAAATTAATTCGACTCGAATGTCCAGTGTCTTCAGACTGTGCGGCAGCATTTCCCGCCTGTTGCGGCAGAGAGATGAGGCAGAGAGATGAGGCAGAGAGATGAGGCGTGTGACTGTGGCAGAGAGATGAGGCAGAGAGATGAGGCAGAGAGATGAGGCAGAGAGATGAGGCAGAGAGATGAGGCAGAGAGATGAGGCAGAGAGATGAGGCAGAGAGATGAGGCAGAGAGATGAGGCAGAGAGATGAGGCGTGTGACTGTGGCAGAGAGATGAGGCAGAGAGATGAGGCAGAGAGATGAGGCAGAGAGATGAGGCAGAGAGATGAGGCAGAGAGATGAGGCAGAGAGATGAGGCAGAGAGATGAGGCAGAGAGATGAGGCAGAGAGATGAGGCGTGTGACTGCGGGGCTCCTTGTCAAGTAACCACTACCCTAAATATCACCTTCGTTGTCCTACCCCCGCACCTACAATTAGCACGGCTGGCTACGTACGGTGCAAAAGAAGTTCAACGTAGGTACATAGACTCATCACACAGAGACCCATAGACTCATCACACAGAGACCCATTGACTCATCGCACAGAGACCCATAGATTCATCACACAGAGACCCATTAACTCATCACACAGAGACCCATAGATTCATCACACAGAGACCCACATACTCTTCACACAGAGACCCATAGACTCATCGCACAGAGACCCACATACTCATCACACAGAGACCCATAGACTCATCACACAGAGACGCATAGACTCATCACACAGAGACCCAGACTCATCACACAGAGACCCATAGACTCATCGCACAGAGACCCATAGATTGATCACACAGAGACCCATAGATTCATCACACAGAGACCCAATGACTCTTGTCCTTCCGCCGCACCTCCGATTAGCACGGCTGGCTACGTGCGGTGCAAAAGAAGTTCAACGTACATATATATGCATCAATTCCTGGAGGTTGCTTTAGAATTTGCCGATTCATATTCGAACAACAACGCCTGCCAGTCTCCTAATACATTGCTTGTCACTCTACTGTGTTGATGGCTTGGCATCCTTGAGTGTGCTTGCGACCGTGGCCTCTACACCTCGCAGCGTTTAATGCTAAGACACAAATGCAAGTATGTCCAGTACTGCAGACACCGAGACTTGCAATACCGGTAAATACGGGCATGCCCAATGATGCTATGTATATTATTATACAATAGCAGTACCGATATACGCTGCCAATTGTGACGACAATGCGTTGAGATGGTGTACGTCACAATGCTGGAGGCTGGCGTTGACCGACAGAGCTATTGGTCGAAAGTGAACTTCGCTCGAGCCATCTTAGCAAGTAATCGAACACTGCTTTACAGAGAGCGTATCAGGTGTTTCCAATCATTGATGTACTCTTGGCAGTGGTTAGAAATCATACGCTAGTATATGATGTATTTATATTTGTCACACGTCAAAGTTACCGTTTACCTACATAACCGTTTAAAAATATATATATATATAAAGTTCTGCTATTATACTGCATTTGCATTACTATCCGATACTGAGATACCCTGCAGGACTATAATGCCCTCTTCGTGCCTTGCAGCGTGCGAGCACGATCGCCAATGGAAGTTCAACTGCAGCGCAACTCGAGTTTGCCTTCTTGCTTCGACCCTAGATTTAGGCCATGGCCTTGGGCAGAGTGATGGCTGTCGAGTAGAGGTCATCTCCGTCGACACCGCTCTGCCCGACTCTCTTGCTGCCCTCTCGCTGCTGCACCTGCTGCTCCTGCTGCAGCACCTGCATGCGGAAGGAGTCTCTGGGGGAGAACGTGTCCAGTCCGCTGTCGGTGGGGGTCGCAACCTGCGCTCGTGACGAAGGGCGGGGAACGGGAGCGTGAGCACCACACGTTAGTTTTGCCGTCTCACGTACGTACACGGTCGGCTATGTACGGTGCGAAAGAAGTCCAACATACGTACATACGCAATGGTTGTCTGGAACGCTCCTAAGGTGGTAGGACGCCACTGGAGCTATGCACTTTTTAAATGATCCAGATGTAAAACTAATTTCTTTAGAACTGCTTTTTGTGTTTCATCTGTTGTCCTTCCCCCGCACCACCGATTAGCACAGTTGCTTACGCACGGTGCAAAAGAAGTTCAACATACACGCACGCAACATGCGCACACGCACGCACAACATGCACACACACGCACACACAACATGCACACACACGCACATACAACATGCACACACACACGCACACACAACATGCGCACACGCACACACAACATGCACACACACGTACACACAACATGCACACACACGCACACACAACATGCACACACACGTACACACAACATGCACACACACGCACACACAACATGCACACACACGTACACACAACATGCACACACACGCACACACAACATGCACACACACGCACACACAACATGCACACACACGCACACACAACATGCACACACACGCACACACAACATGCACACACACGCACACACAACATGCACACACACGCACACACAACATGCACACACAACACGCACACACAACATGCGCACACGTACACACAACATGCACACACACGCACACACAACATGCACACACGCACACACAACATGCACACACGCACACACAACATGCACACACGCACACACAACATGCACACACACACAACATGCACACACACGCACACACAACATGCACACACACACACACAACATGCACACACACACACACAACATGCACACACACACGCACACACACATGCACACACAACATGCACACACACGCACACACAACATGCACACACACGCACACACAACATGCACACACACACAACATGCACACACACGTACACAAAACATGCACACACGCCTTCGCATTAGTTTGAGCGTGGAAGAATAATAATTTCATTTTGTATCGTGTCATTCATGCTAATAGCATCCCACAATGCCATACATTAATTATATATGAGGACCACAGCCAGTACCAAGCAAGTGAAAACCCTACTACGACCAAGCAAAACTCACAAATAAATAAACAAATTAAGAAATGTCACCAAAACAAAAAGCACAGACAACAACAACAACAACTGTATCACAACAGAGAACACGAGCCCGTCAGGTCGGCTCCGCATCCCGGGCCACAATCCCCAACGTGCGACGGGGTTCAAGATACGACAGCGTCTGAAGCCGTGCGGCGAAAACAAGGGGGATCATTCCGCGGCCTCCTCGGGCGTGGACGATTTGGCCAATCGCCTTCCAGGACCTGGCGACCACAAACGATAGCCCAACGAAGAGGCTCATCACGTGGACACGTAAAGCAGCCATATACTCGAAACGCGTGATGTTCATTCCAAATGTGGAGGGAAAAACCGGAGTCCCTGGAGAAAGATCCATGCTACCACGTGGAGAGAGAGACACCACCAACTCCAAATATACAGCAGCAGGCATCAGGGTCGGAATCGAACCCACCTCCTGTGCACTAGGCAAGGTAGTTAACATCTCCTAGCCGTGATGATGATGATAGAGACACCGCAAACTCCAAATATACAGCAGCAGGCGTCAGGGTAGGGATCGAACCCACATCTTGTGAGATGACAACAGTGTTCACCCGATGGACAGATTAGCTCCCAACGTGGAAATGTGGAAATGCCACCACTGGTCATAGCTGCTCGTGTATACAAACTTTTCTCATTCTATATTTACGCGAGTGAAATGCCCTTAACCGAGTAAGAGCTTTCCGTAGATGCGATCAAGATGGTTATTTTCACACGAGTGCACAGATATACCCTTTTGTTTATAGAGGTCATTGATTGGTTTCCCACGCTTACGGAAGGATACGCTATTGTTTCGACTATTTTACATATACGCATTGCACCCTGGTTATCTCCGCAGGTGAATTAGCCACAAAGTACGCGTCATCTGCATTCAGAATGAACGTCACATATCTCGCTCCGTCATTCGAAGAGAGGGCGGCCCCTTTTGTGTACTGGCGGTGTGACCCAAATTTGCCAGAATTTGAAGGAAACAAACGTCCCTTCAAGATACGAAGTTGGGATTACACTGCCCCCTACTGCAAAACTAGAACTACAATACAAAACATTAACAATTTGATTTGGGTAGACAGTCGATCATCGGTTATCCGGCGTGCGACTATCTCGCTTCCAACATTATCCGGCAGTACCGGGCTGATCCGGTGAAACCGGCAAAATTTCTGCGAAGGTTGCTAACCAGTCCGGCGATCGGCGCCGTGGCCGTGACAGACAAAGTAGCTCCGCTTGAATTCAGTGTCAAATATTTTTTCCGGTACATTATACACTACATACAACTTCAACAAGAAAATACTGCACGTATATACATCACCCTGTGAAGAGACTTCGAGATTGGAGCGGTAAGCATGGCATAGTAAATGCAGTGACTTTTTAAAGTAGGATAGTTGTTTTTGTCTATTTGTATGTTTTTTATGCCAATTTCACATTCTAAATACATTTTAAACAGCGTAAAACATAATAGCCGCCGGACGATAATCGATGATCGAATACCCATCGAAGCCTTGCCGAGTGTCGAGGCTTACTACATATTGCAGGGCGCCGGATGTATTGCTCTTTACATTCCAGAGTTTCCACGTGGGTGGAAATCGCAGCAGCGACAAGGAAAGATTACTCAAACCCCAGCACAGGGGAGTCCAGTCCAAAAGGCAAAGGTCCCCCGTGTAGCCTTCACAGACTGTTGGGGCAAGTGCTGTGAGTAGCGAGCACCTACGAAGGCCGGAATGGCGCACGACGGGATTGGTGGCCAGCACCACGCCCGACCGCCTTTTTCTCCCCAGTGGCGATGTTTACACACTGCACCAGGTACTTATTTGAGGCTGAGTCGACCTCGGGGAGGCCTAGGACCGGTTTAGATAATCGTCACTGGTGTTGGACGTGAGTCAGATTCAGAGCGCAGCGTGATAACCACTGTGCTACTACTCCCCATAGTCCAGTCCACACACACACACTCCACAGACACTACACACACATCACACACACTCCACAGACACTACACACACCACACACACTCCACAGACACTACACACACACACATCACACAGTCACCACACACACTACACACACCACATACACTCCACAGACACTACACACACCACACACTCCACAGACACTACACACACTCCACAGACACTACACACACTCCACAAACACTACACACACACACCACACACACTACACACACACACCACACACACTCCACAGACACTACACACACACTCCACACACACTACACACTCCACAGACACTACACACACACCACACACTCCACAGACACTACACACACACCCCACAGACACTACACACACACTCCACAGACATTACACACACACACCACACACACTCCACAGACACTACACACACACTACACACACACTCCACAGACACTACACACACACACACCACACTCCACAGACACTACACACACACGCCACACACTACACACACACACCACATACACTCCACAGACACTCCACACACACTCCACAGACACTACACACACACTCCACTGACACTACCACACACACATCACACACACTACACACACTCCACACACACTCCACAGACACTACACACACACACCACACACACTCCACAAACACTACACACACCCCACACACTCCACACACATCACACACACTCCACAGACACTACACACACCACACACTCCACAGACACTGCACACACCACACACTCCACCGACACTACACACACACACACCACAGACACTACACACACACACCACAGACACTACACACACACACATCACACACACTCCACACACACACATCACACACACTCCACACACACTCCACAGACACTACACACACACGCCACACACACTCCACAGATACTACACACACACACCACATACACTCCACAGACACTCCACACACACCACACACACTCCACAGACACTACACACACCACACACTCCACAGACACTACACACACACACTCCACAGACACTACACACACACTCCACACACACTACACACACACTCCACACACACTCCACACACTCAACAGACACTACACACACACATCACACACACTACACACACTCCACAGACACTACACACACACACACACACCACACACACTCCACAAACACTACACACACACCACACACACTCCACAGACACTACACACACACACACCACACACACTCCACAAACACTACACACACCACACACACTCCACACATATCACACACACTCCACAGACACTACACACACACACTCCACAAACACCACCACACACACCACACGCACTACACACACACACCACACACACTCCACAGACACTACACACACACTCCACAGACACTACACACACACTCCACAGACACTCCACTGACACTACACACACACATCACACACACTACACCACACACTCCACAGACACTACACACACACACCACACACACTCCACACACACACCACACACACACACTCCACAGACACTACACACACACACCACACACACTACACAGACACTACACACACACACTTCACAAACACTACACACACCACACACACACCACACACACTCCACACACTACACACACACCACACACTACACACACACCACACACACACCCCACACACCACACACTCCACAGACACTACACACACACCCCACACACTCCACATACACTACACACACACCCCACACACTCCACAGACACTACACACACACCCCACAGACACTACACACACACTCCACAGACACTACACACACACACCACACACACTCCACAGACACTACACACACTCCACAGACACTACACACACACTCCACACACTCCACACACACTCCACAGACACTACACACACACTCCACACACACTCCAGACACTCCACAGACACTACACACACACTCCACAGACACTACACACACACTCCACAGACACCACACACACTCCACAGACACCACACACACTCCACAGACACTACACACACTCCACAGACACTACACAGACATTACACACACACACCACACACTACACAGACATCACACACACACACCACACACTCCACAGACACTACACACACACCACACACACTCCACAGACACTACACTCCACAAACACTACACACACACACCACACACACTCCACAGACACTACACACACACACTCCACAAAACACTACACACACACCACACACTCCACAAACACTACACACACACACCACACACTCCACAGACACTACAAACACACACTACACACACCACACACACTCCACAGACATTACACACACACCACATACGCCACACAAACACACACACTCCACACACTACACAGACATTACACACACACACCACACACTCCACAGACAACACACACACACTACACAGACACTACACACATACCACATACACTCCACACAAACTCACACACACACACACCACATACTCCACACGAACACACACACACTCCACAGACACTACACACACACACCACATACTCCACACAAACACACACACTACAGACACTCCAGCGAATCCTCATGGGGGTTGAGCCCATTGCTCTGTTGTCATCATTTGACCACCTCGCAGTCTTGCAAGTGAGTTTTCTTTGGAGTGCCACGGTGTGTGAGATGTGAACAGGGAGTCGTGGGTTCGATCCTGACCCTGACGCCTGCTGTATATTTGGAGCTTGCAAGTTCTCTCCGTGGTCGTGTGTGTTTTTCTCCGGGTCCCCCAGATTTTCCCTCCACATTTAGAAACTTGTGTTTAGAGTATTTTGGCTGCTGTAAATGTCCACGTGATAAGACACTTGTTGTTGTCGTCACTTTCTGACCCGCCCCTACAGGGCATCTGTGGAAAAAAGAGCTTCATAGCTCACCGGATTTCTCCAGGATAGAGATTCTGAATCCGATTCACTTCGTTGAGCTATCATGATAGACCATTTGTGACAGCCAGCTCGCTTCTGACAATAAAAACCTTACCTGGTAAAAAAAAAAAAGAGCTATAAACTGGAGCTCAGTGGGGCCTTAGCTGGTAAAATAAAAATGGTTATAGTTAGTTAGGTAGTTTAATGCAACGGAGGCCGCACCTCCAATTCATCCCAGTCCCCGCCGCCACCGCCATCACCGTCATCATCCTCCATAGGAGACGAATTATTTGGCGGTGGCGGCGGCAGCGACGTCTGCAGCGGCCGCACCGGCTCCCTCACCGTGTGCCCGGGGCCTAGCTCGGCAGCGAAGCCTGCGTTGCGGCGGCCATCGACCTCGTCGGTGTTGCGGCCTTGGTTGTTCGGATCGCGGGCCGCCTCTTTGGTCTTCATCGGGGCCTTTTCCACGTCGGGCCCACCTTGCTCCAGGAGCCTTTGGGGAAGTCGGGAGAAGCGCCGGGTGATTGGGGTTCGTGCCTGGTGATGGTGCCTTGTTACCGTAGTTACTGGGGTTCATGTCTGGTGATGGTGCCTTGTTACCGTAGTTACTGGGGTTCATGTCTGGTGATGGTGCCTTGTTACAGTAGTTACTGGGGTTCACGCCTGGTGATGGTGCCTTGTTACCGTAGTTACTGGGGTTCGTGTCTGGTGATGGTGCCTTGTTACCGTAGTTACTGGGGTTCGTGTCTGGTGATGGTGCCTTGTTACCGTAGCTACTGGGGTTCATGTCTGGTGATGGTGCCTTGTTACCGTAGTTACTGGGGTTCGTGCCTGGTGATGGTGCCTTGTTACCGTAGTTACTGGGGTTCATGTCTGGTGATGGTGCCTTGTTACCGTAGTTACTGGGGTTCATGCCTGGTGATGGTGCCTTGTTACCGTAGTTCTCCCTATGCAATAGGCCCTGTAGATCTCAGTGCAGTGGGTCTTAACCTATTTCGGCTACTCTACCCCTTGTTGAAATTACGTTTCAACCGAGTGTTACCCCGTTGCCCGACCCCAACACGGTTCTGAGAAATAATTGTATGAATAATGAACACCAATATTTTAACCAATTGTCCATGTTGTAAGGTCACCCTAACCAACTAACTGACTGCAAGTGAATACAAAAAATCAACGGACGCTCTGCACACGTGACGTCATTTGTTCACGCTCGCTGGTTGCTCTTGGAAACCCGCATTGTATACGATCAATAGAGTTTAGAAAGGTCTTTTATATCGTTCTAGGTTACCACGTGGATTTAAATGTTATCGTACTTATTTTATATTGGCAGATACGTACGTGATTGTTCACCGATGGCTCTCACGTACGATATAATTTCGCACAAACCACCTCACGTCGTAACCCCTTGGGCATTTCCACCGAACCAGCGGGGTTCCGTGTACCCCCGGTTGACAACCATCGTCTTGGTGCATCATCATTACGGCAGTGCTTCATTATCGGTAAGAGTAGGCATTGTTAGTGGTATTTTTTATTATTTTATGGCAATGGATCGGGGTTCACGTCGCGCTCAATCGCATCGCTGATGACCACCCACGGGATCGCCTTTACAGTGGCAAACTTCGCCTTACGAGAGGCCAAGCACCTTACGAAATTGGCAACAACCCCAGTGCGTAACTGGTGGTGTTGCGGTGCTTGTTGGGTAAGTTTGCCGTTGCTCTGCCCATGGGTGATTGAACGTGCTGTAACGTTTGAGAGAATGTTGTTTTGTTATAGTGCCGGTGGATGAGTTGTTACAATGTCTGTGGGCAAGGGAGCGGTGGTGCAACGGTTAGCGCTACGCTGCACTAGGAACCCGGTGACCCGAGTTCGATTCCTGCTCACGGCCAACACCGGTGACGATTATCTGAACCGGTCCTGGGCCTGCCTTAGGTTGACTCGGGCTCAAACGAGTACATGATGTGGTGTGTAGTAAACATCGCCACTTGGGGGACATGCCGGGCCTTCGTAGGTGCTCGATAACAGGACTTGCCCCAACAGTCTGTTGAGGCTATACTGGGGGGGGGGGGGTGTCTTTGACTCTGTGCGAGTGCTGGGTGCACACCTGCTGATGACCAAGAGCAGGCCGGCCCCGATCAACGCGATGAAGAGGAGCACGACCAGGATGACTGTCACCACCACCATGCCGCCCGACCGCGGCCCAGGGGTCACGCCAATCGCGTTGAGGTCACCGGCTGGACATGAGGGTGGCAGTGGCGGTCAAGAACCAAACATTCGTCATTAAAATAATAATAACAATAGCAATGGAATTATTTGTAAATTGTAAACCATTTGAATTTTACCAGGTAAGGCCCACTGATCTATAAAGCTATTTTTAGAACCGCACCGGCCACAAATGTTAGCTTAACAGAAGTTGCTAATCACGTGGTAATGTATAGCAGCCAAATACTCTAAACGCGTGATGTTGATTCTAAGTGTGGAGGGAAAATCCGGAGGACCTGGAGAAAAATCCACGCGACCACGGGGAGAGAGACACGCAAACTCCAAATATGCAGCAGCAGGTGTCAGGGTCGGGATCGAACCCACGATCTCCTGCATACCAGCTGAAGTAGTTAACATCTCTTAGCCGCGTCGTTCTTGGGAGGTTGTCGGACGATATTTCACGCTGGTGCGGCGGTGGTTGTAGAAAGGGGAACGGGCAAGGACCCAGTTTGAATATCCATCGTCTCAGCGACGCGTGCCACAGACGGACCCGCACCTTTGTTCAGCCGGATGGGTTTTGACCAGGAAGACTCGAGGTAAGAGCGGTCGATGGCCCCGTTGGTAGCCACCGTTCCTATGATGTACTTGAACCTGCACGCAGTCACACCGTCGCGTTCCCGGTTAACGTGGCTCGTCAGAACGGCAACGTTTCAAATATGCGGCCGTTGTGAGGTGAGATATAAAACTCATTTTTAAAAACATCAAAGTGCCACGTGATATGTACTGGGGACCAGTCAATTTCGTTTTGCCAGCATCGCTGAAAAAGGGTGCCGCAGTGGCGAGATGTTAACTACCTCGCCTGGTACACAGGAGGTCGTGGATTCGATCCCGAACCTGACGCCTGCTGCTGCTGTATATTTGGAGTTTGCGTGTCTCTCACATCATTTCGATTAGGGTGCCTTTTCAAAATATTCTACTCCCAAATGTATTCTTCAGCCGTGATTTCTTCCAGACAGGATGCTTCCAGCAAACTAATTCAAGCGAAGGGTTCTTCCTCGACAGCGGCCAAACGATATGTTGGCTGGAACTGGTAGTTGACCAATCGCGTTATGTCCGTGGATCTTTAAATTGAATGCCTGTACTGCTTTGTGGAGCATCAGTCGTTGCGTCTACATGGACCGTGCAGTAAACCCACTGTAGCCTGCACTTCTTCAACGGAGGAGGAGGAATGGCGAAATGACACGAACTCTCTCTCTGCTGAAGACCTCTGGTCATGGCCAACAGCAGACCTTGAGGGGTCTTTGCGCCTGAACAAGATTCCCGCCATCGTGTGCAAGAATAGAACAGCGTCGAAGTGGCAGGAATTTTGTCGTTTTGTCAAAATCTTGGCACCGTCATAGGAATGAGGAATTTACTGGCTCGGGGCTGTGAACAGAGGTAAGCGGGTGGAACTTGATCCTCTTCTGCTTCCGTACGGCTGCTGGTGTAGATGGAAGAGCAACAAACTACAATGTCACATTCAGGTGGCCAGGCCAGACAACTACGTCAGGAGCAGTAGCGGAGTAGTGCATCATCGTCGTCGTCGTCATCGTCGTCGTATTTGTGGATCGTGCATTGCGTCGTTACACGTTGTGCTACGTTCTGTTCTGAACAACCACAGTCGCACCACTACTACTGGTGAGGTCTTTAATTTCCCATTCGTGCATCATCAGTTATCCGCATCTACTGCCATGGTGTGTGCAGTGGATGTGGTTCAGGGTGGACCACGAGCTGCCTCGTGGAAGATCAAACCCAGGGATCTTCACGGAACACTTTGACTTCAATGATTGCTGCGTGGCAAGACTGCCCTCTTGTGGCAGAAGTATGAGCAGTAACAGTGAGTAGAATGGATGTACATCATGGGACCTCCTTTGCCAGTACCAACATATGATCATAGGAGTTTCCTCTTTTTATCTGGCAACACAACAGCTGTTAAGATGTTAAAACACCAAACTGAAACCTTTTACAAGGAATCATGTCTGCATTAACCACAATACTTGTGGTGTTTTAACACCAGTTTTGTTGCCAGAACAATAGGAAAAACCTATGATCATATTTTGGTACTGGCAAAGGAGGTCCCATGATGTAGATGCTCACCCCGAGCCCTCCTTACTGTGATAGTGGCATTGTCTTTGAGCTGTATGCCTTTTGGCGTCCTCTGGTCTAACGCCGCTTGAGACGAGACTCAAAAGAAAGCTGTCTCTGGTGTGGACCAATCAGTTTCAAAGACAATGCCAATACATTATCAGAGTATTCTAGATTTAAAGCTTTCGTGACTGCTAGGATCCATACTCTTTGGTTCTATTGGGTAAAGTCACGTAGGTGAAAATAAAATAACAAAAAATCACGACGTTTCGGCCACAACACAAGCAGCCTTCAGGTGAAGGGACGAGACTGTCTGGAGGACAGCGCTGGAGTGGAGAGGCGCTGTCCTCCAAACAGTCTCGTCCCTTCACCTGATGAAGGCCGCTTGTGTCGTGGCCGAAACGTCGTGATTTTTTGTTATTTTATTTTCACCTACGTGACTTTACCCAATAGAACCAAAGAGTATTATCAGAGTATGTTTTTTGTTTGCATTTTGACCGCAAGTATTGTGGTTAATGCAGACATAATTCCTTCTAAAAGGTTTCAGTTTGGTGTTTTAACATCTCAACACAGCTGTTTTGTTGCCAGGAAAAGAGGAAAACCTATTCGCGAACTTAATTCTCTGTGAGGTGAAGCTCTCCTATCTTTCAGTTTAACACGTAGGCTTTCCATGATTCAGATTTAAACATCATAAGTGTGTATTTTTTCGTTCGAAACCGCTTGAATCTGAAATGTCTCTTGAACAATAAAAGATCAAACAATGGTTCTCCCTTTAATTTTATTTCCCGTCTAATGCTCTAGCAAACGAAAAAAACCACAGTCTTATATTTTTAACGGTTTCTGAATGACACCAGGCACAAACTTGTTTATGGGGCACTTAAAATCGAGATTTGGGGGCCTTAAAATTATACATCTCGGATTTTCAGATATGTCCTGTTTTGATTGAAAGTTTTGGTGACTGCAGGGATTCATATTCTTGGTTCTTTCTTTAAAGTCACGTGACTTTACCGAAAGAACCAATAATATATATGTCCTGTTGTTTATGTCCTTAAAGCTACCCATGTACCAAATCTCAGCGTTCTACCTTGTCGGAAAATACCCTCGAGTTTTTGAGACGTAGACATTCAGGTATTGATCTATATCGATGGGAGGGATTTGTTTTCTTTATTGAGAATTTATTTCTGATACCATTAATCAGAGAAATAATTTAAAAAATCCTTCTATCTAGTAAGGTTCACACGACAATAATTAAATGATCAATTTAAATATATATATTGTACAGGATCTCATTGCATATCGGCCTACAATACGTTCCCTCCACTGTCTCCCAATTCTCAATTCTCGCCATCTCGTCTTGATCGGGTTGTGCGTGCAGGTCAAGCCTCAAGTCTGCCATTTGTCCGCTTCACGTGGGTCTTACATCCCGTTGCTGTGTAACCCTTCTGCCACGAGAGGGCAGTCTCGTCAGGCGGCGGTGGATGAAGTCGAAGAGCGTTTGTCAGGCTCTCAACAAGGACTCTCCCCGAGACTCAAGGCACCAACCTCCCACCGACCTCCCCACTCAGTTCTCTTCTCCAAAAGCAGACTCGCCCTTGCCTGCGTGAGAGTGCAGTGTCTCCCTGCATCCCTTTCTCAATTGCTCGGGGTGTCCCCAAGGTGTTTCATAATAGAGGTTTGTTTTGGGGAGGGGTTTGGCAGCGTGAACGTCAATGTGTCGCTAAACTCGCCAGCGCCTGACACGGGCCGTCAAGTAAGGGTTGTCACGTGAACAAAACGCGCCAATTCGTCGCCAGTTCAGCACACCGGTGTGTCGGCCAGTAAACCCACGGCAACATTTACAAGTTATTTCAGTTGGCATGCAAACGGACGCCGAAGAGGTCAATCTCACGAGCCCAAAACGTGGCAGGACGTGTGACTTAAACTGTTTTCGCAAGAAGAAAAAAGAGACACACACACACACACACCCAAGTGGGCCACGAGGACTGGAGATTGTAACACCGTTGGCCCAAGCGTTGGCCCAACGTTGGCTCTCAACGTTCCACGTCTACGCCTCTATGTAAGGAACGAAACAGGTGGAGGACTTCTCCACAAATCTGGCTGTCGCCTGATGAAGCTAGTTGTAATTACTGGCGAAACGTCGTACTCGGTTTGTAAATGTTGTGGCTTGGCTCTCCAACACACCGGTTAGTGCTGTACTAGTGACGAATTGGCCACGTTCTGTTTACGTGACAACCCTTACTAGTTGGCTGTGTCGGGTGGTGGCGGGTTTAACGACACATTTATATATTTACGCTACCTCAACCCCCCTAAAAAAAACCCTCTATTATGGACATATTTTTAAATCTCACCAGTAGATGGTGCCGGCATTGAGTGGCCCGTTGCACGTGACCGCCACGCTGCACTTGGAGTCGGCGCCCACGCGGTAGTAGCTGGTGGGCGTCGACAGAGACGGCGTGGAGATGGTGCAGTTTTGTAGGGGGCGGCCTCCCAGAGCCAAGTACCAGCTGCTGGTCCCCGCACCCGAGCCCGCGTATCCCTTGTCGAGCCCAATCGTCGACGAGCTCGTGATCATCTCGTTACTCACGTTGCCTATGGACGGGGTGGGTGGTTGGGGGGGTATGGGCGGGTGTGAAGTTGGAGATTTTTCTCATCAATTTTTTTTGTCTGCCAACTATTCATCCAACTGGCGTGGCACCGACTCTTGGTCGCCTTGCGTTGCGCCGGCAGACTCGCGCTCAAGGGGAAACTTCCGTCGTCGTGAATTTCGTTTACAAAAGCCAAAACATTTAAAGATGGTTGTTAGTTCTGAAGAGTCTAACCTTCTGGTATAAACATGCCAACGTTGGGCCAACCCGACATTGGTTGATGTTGTCACAATGTTGGTCTAACGTCAACTGGATTGAAAATTCATTCCGGATTGAAATTCACCGCTTTTTATGTTTCGTTTGTTGTCCTTCCCCGGCACCTCCGACGAGCACGGTTGGCTACGTACGGTGTTCATCATCACAAGGGGTAACACTCTATCACAGTGTTCATCATCACAAGGGGTAACACTCTATCACAGTGTTCATCATCACAAGGGGTAACACTCTATCACGGTGTTATTCATCACAAGGGGTAACACTCTATCACAGTGTTCTTCATCACAAGGGGTAACACTCTATCACAGTGTTCATCATCACAAGGGGTAACACTCTATCACAGTGTTCATCATCACAAGGGGTAACACTCTATCACAGTGTTCATCATCACAAGGGGTAACACTCTATCCCAGTGTTCATCATCACAAGGGGTAACACTCTATCACAGTGTTCATCATCACAAGGGGTAACACTCTATCACAGTGTTATTCATCACAAGGGGTAACACTCTATCACAGTGTTCTTCATCACAAGGGGTAACACTCTATCACAGTGTTCATCATCACAAGGGGTAACACTCTATCACAGTGATCTTCATCACAAGGTGTAACACTATCACAGTGGTCTTCATCACAAGGGGTAACACTCTATCACAGTGTTCATCATCACAAGGGGTAACACTCTATCACAGTGTTCATCATCACAAGGTGTAACACTCTATCACAGTGTTCTTCATCACAAGGGGTAACACTCTATCACGGTGTTCTTCATCACAAGGGGTAACACTCTATCACGGTGTTCATCATCACAAGGGGTAACACTCTATCACAGTGTTCATCATCACAAGGGGTAACACTCTATCACAGTGTTCATCATCACAAGGTGTAACACTCTATCACAGTGTTCATCATCACAAGGGGTAACACTCTATCACAGTGTTCATCATCACAAGGGGTAACACTCTATCACAGTGATCTTCATCACAAGGGTAACACTCTATCACAGTGTTCATCATCACAAGGGGTAACACTCTATCACAGTGTTCTTCATCACAAGGTGTAACACTCTATCACAGTGTTCATCATCACAAGGGGTAACACTCTATCACAGTGTTCATCATCACAAGGGGTAACACTCTATCACAGTGTTCATCATCACAAGGTGTAACACTCTATCACAGTGTTCATCATCACAAGGGGTAACACTCTATCACAGTGTTCTTCATCACAAGGGGTAACACTCTATCACAGTGTTCATCATCACAAGGGGTAACACTCTATCACAGTGTTCATCATCACAAGGGGTAACACTCTATCACAGTGTTCATCATCACAAGGTGTAACACTCTATCACAGTGTTCATCATCACAAGGGGTAACACTCTATCACAGTGTTCATCATCACAAGGGGTAACACTCTATCACAGTGTTCTTCATCACAAGGGGTAACACTCTATCACAGTGTTCTTCATCACAAGGGGTAACACTCTATCACAGTGTTCTTCATCACAAGGGGTAACACTCTATCACAGTGTTCTTCATCACAAGGGGTAACACTCTATCACAGTGTTCATCATCACAAGGGGTAACACTCTATCTCAGTGTTCATCATCACAAGGTGTAACACTCTATCACAGTGTTCATCATCACAAGGTGTAACACTCTATCACAGTGTTCATCATCACAAGGGGTAACACTCTATCACAGTGTTCATCATCACAAGGGGTAACACTATATCACAGTGTTTATCATCACAAGGTGTAACACTCTATCACAGTGTTTATCATCACAAGGTGTAACACTCTATCACAGTGTTCATCATCACAAGGTGTAACACTATCACAGTGTTCTTCATCACAAGGTGTAACACTCTATCACAGTGTTCATCATCACAAGGGGTAACACTCTATCTCAGTGTTCATCATCACAAGGTGTAACACTCTATCACAGTGTTCATCATCACAAGGTGTAACACTCTATCACAGTGTTCATCATCACAAGGGGTAACACTCTATCACAGTGTTCATCATCACAAGGGGTAACACTATATCACAGTGTTTATCATCACAAGGTGTAACACTCTATCACAGTGTTCATCATCACAAGGGGTAACACTCTATCACAGTGTTCATCATCACAAGGTGTAACACTATCTCAGTGTTCATCATCGCGAGGCCCCCATTGGCCACTGGCGGCCCCCCTGGTGGTCTTGAGTGCGTCTCCTGTAGTGCGGCATCCCCGACAATACACACAGAGTGACACCACCACCCCATCATCGTGCTGCTGTCAAACCCCAACATTGGCATTGGTTTCAAATGTTTAGCGGCAGCCCTCACTCACTCTGACGATGTCTTATCGGCTAAAGTGCCCCCCCCCCCCCCTCCTCCTCTGAAAATGAGGGAAGATCGCTGCTACAGGAGCGAGCGCGGTGCCTGAAGCAGGGACTCACGTTGCGCCGTGGCCATCACGAAGAGCCGCAGGTCGGCGGAGACCGAGCTGAGAGCCACCACCTCCGCATCCAGGGCGCTGCAGAAGGGCGCCTGGAGCGCTACCGTCGTCTGCGTCACGGCTCCCAGCAGGTTGGGGTTCACCACGGTGGGCACCACCTGTGACACTGAGAACAGGCAATGTATCGTCATCATCGTCGTCATCAGCAGCAGCATCATCATCATCATCATTGTCATCATCAGCAGTGTTGTCATTAACATCTCGCCACTGTGGGCTCCACGGTGGCTAGGAGATGTTAACTACCTCGCCTGGTATGCAGGAGGTCGTGGGTTCGATCCCGACCCTATATATTTGGAGTTTGCATGTTTTCCCCATGGTCACGTGGATTTTTCTCTGGGGCCTCCGGCTTTTCCCTCCACATTTAGAATCAACATCATGTGTTTATAGAGTATATTTAGCTGCTGTAAATTTCCACGTGATAAGCAACTTCTTTGAGTTATCATTTGTGGCCAGGTCGCTTCTGACAAACTGCTCAATAGCTCAGTGGGCCTTACCTGGTAAAGTAAAAAAAAAATAGCTTAGGTTAGTTCCATACCTGCCTGCCTCAATAGATGGTCGATAAAAGCACTTACGCGAGTGTGTGTTGTGTTTGTGAATGTTTAAGTGTGTACGTGGCACGGCAGCCTGGCAGTTAAATGATAACATCTAAGGTTCGTAAAAATAAATAATTTTAAGTCGTGATTTCTCTTCCCCGAGACAAAATCTCCACGTGAACTATGCGCGGCATCTGACGTACGCGTGGCATCTCACGTATGGCTAATTGCGTAAGAGCTATTGCTCTTGTCATTGTTGTTGTTGTTGTTTTGAATCCACCCCGAGGGAGTGACTCGGGCTATACATACCTGAGAAGAAAGGAACTAAAATAAACGGGCAACTTGAGATGCGTGAGGGCGGCAGCACGCCGAGTGATGGGAGTGATCATCGCGAGTCCCAGACTCGCCGTCGTTAATTGTGATTACTTTTAAAGAGACGCCCTCGCTGCCCGAGGGGACGTGGCGAGCGAGCCGACGGCTCTTCCAAGAGACTTTCGATGTGCGGAGGAGCGTTGATGTGTATCTTCTCGTACGTGTGGGTTTCTCAATTTCCCCCACTAACGCTGCCCCCTTGGAAGCACAGAGAACAGGCTGCGAATTAACAGCCGAGAACCCCCCCGTCCGCTCGGCAAAAATGAAGACACAAGTCTCGATATTGTTTAAAATGTGGGCCCTATCCCAATATTGCGTGAGACATTCAAGTAGGCGAGGGATCATCCTTCCAGAATTGCCATCGAGCAAGCGATCTATATTTTACGTGCCAATATCACCCTCAATGAAGTAGGCATCGGTGCACGTGCCATGCCACAGAGAAGCCCACGACGTAGTGCCAGAATTAGCACTCTGAAGTGATCACAGTTGGACTCTCTTATCCGACATTGGTGAGCACCCTTCGTGTTCTATAACAAACAAAAAATCGCAATGTATCGGCGATTCCATATTGGGGTTGTTGTTTGTTTTTTCAAATATAAAATAGAGTTTCTCAGAAATAACGAAAGTCAAATTCAGCAATTGACCAACGTTCATGGATCTCATTTCTTGTAACCGGGGCAGAAAGAAAGAAAAAAGTTTATTACACTTAGAAATAGTCGTGCGAGGATGGATTCATTCACAATTAACAATCGATTGTTTTTGTGCTCGCAATCAAAGCCTCGAATGCCACGCGGCGTTGGCCCGAGGCCATCAGAGTGAGCATTCGCGTGTCCCCTTGCGCGGAGCGCACCGAGGTGGACAGAGTCGATATCTTAAATGCGCTCGCCGATGTCGTCAAGGAGCATGAACCAGCGCCGCGACAACTCCGGCAATCCGCACAGCAGCGGCAGCAGCTGCTTCTGGCTGCTTCTTGCTGCTAAACCGTCGAACAAAGACGGCGGTGGTCACCGCGCCGTCGTCGTCGTCGTCGCGCGGCGCTTTCGGAGGCGCTTCTGCAGTCCGTCCGGAACGCTCCTCTTGCCGATACTAGCAAGCCGCTGCGGCTATGCAACCTTTAAATCGCCGTCTCGATTGAGACCAGACTCACTTCTCTAGAACTGCTTTGTTGTAAATTAGTTTGTTATCGTTCCCCCGCACCTCCGATTAGCGCGGTTTGGTCGGTACGGTGCGGAAGAAGTTCGACGTACACCCATAATACACATCCGACGTATCCTCGCGAATAGCTAGAGCATGCGGCGTCAGCTTGTGAATTATGAGGCACGTGCATGCGGAAGTAGTGAGCACCTTATGCTCCGTATAGGTCAGATGAAAAATGCTGGAGGGGGCCCCGATCTGAAAACTCTTTTAAACGAATCATCGACGGTGACTGCATCAGCCCGGGCAGGGAGACAGACCGGTAGGCGAGCGGCTCGTGGAACCTGCCGATTCTGTGGTTGGGTTGGGTTTTTTTTTGAGTCGCCGGGGTTTGATGTAAGAATGCTAAGAATGTCGCCTCTCAGGAACGTTGGGTTCAACATTTGTGGGGGGATGCGCGCGCGGGAGGCAGGGTCATCTTGGGAGCCGAGGTGGTGCCTGGGGTGGGCAGGGTTGCTCGGTACGAATACTCGTGCCTCAAGGCAAAGAAGCCCCTGGGTTTGATTCCCAGTCGGAATGTCGAGTTGACTTGGGACTGAATGCTGATGAATGTCGCCACTCTCAGAAGGCCCGTGGATCCGTGAGGAAGATGGGTTGTGTAAAATATACTTTGTGTGTTTTAGATAGACAGAGAGACGGACAGAGAGTCATATCTCTCCGAACGCGGGCGTTACGCGCTCCGGGGAAATGCCGTGTTGGGAAAAAAAAAATAAGAGACCATCACGAAACATCGCACAGGCTTGCTGGGTCCGAATGTATCACCCCCTGCCTCTTTTTTGAACCAATTCTACAATATTTCCCCTCACTTGGTATCGCAGCAAACTAAAAAACAGACACATAATACGCGTAACTATGATCATAGAAAATATATTAAGACGTAGAATTAAAAATAAGTAGTTTTTTTTCACCTCTAATTAATGATGGTGACGATAATTATTACCCCCTCCTACGGCGTGATCCCGCCTCTCCATTGTTAATCACACGCTAAAAGATAAACACACGTATGGTGAACAAATTATAATTGGGGCATACATTTTATTCGTAATAAAGGTTTTTGGGTTAGATCGTCTAAGTATAAATGTGTCGTCCCCCTCCACCGAGACTAATTCGTGAATCCATTGAAACAAAAAAATTTGAACCGCTCTGACAGCTAGAGGCTTAGTCCGGCCTGGAAGCGTATTATTAAGTAATACATCTTACATCTACAACAAAGGAAACACTTGCTAATTAACTGATTACCAATCTATTACATTATTACAATGCCCCCCCCCCTTCCTCCGCCTCTGACCTCTGCACCTGGTGGGTTCAGTGACGACGTCGTCCTGCTGCTGCTACTGCTGCTCTAGTTAAGACCAGAAGCAGGTGGATTGCTTCACGATTCTGGCAAATCGCCCGATGCCGCTGGCTGATGTAGTTACCAGCGAAACGTCACGGGGTACTGGAATTGTAAATGTTGTGGATTTACTCTCCAACACACCGGAGGTGCTGAAGTAGGAACCAGCTAGGACGATGCTCACGTGACGAACCTGACTGGCCGTGTCGGGTGGTGGAGGGTGACGACACATTTACACTTACGCGACCTCACCCAAAAACCTTTATTGTGAATAATATTGGTCTCGAAAGCCTACGTGTTAAACTGCATACATTTTAATGTGAAAAAGTGAAACAGATTTTTTGTTGTGTTCTTCTACTTAGGATGATGATGGTGATGATGATGATGTTGGAGAGTGCTTACGGCGTGAGGAGTAAGACGGCATGAGAGGTCTTGACAAGACACGAATCCGCAGAATCTACAAGTAAACTGCACAATACTTTTGGTCGCACGGAAATTAGTATCTTGGCAGCTTCAAACCGCGTACATCAGAATCTTGATTTGCACCGGAGGAATCCGATGAGCTATAAAGCTCTTTTTCTCAGATGTCCAGGAGGGACGGGTCAGAACGTGACCACAATAAACATGACACAAACACGACGGGAGTGCAAAGTATAGGAAAGGTAAACTAAGCACTAAAATAAAATTAACTATTTGTATTATACCAGGTAACGCCCAGTGAGCATGAGCTCCTCTTCAGAAGCGACCTGGCCACAAATGATACCTTAATAAAGTGGCTTATCACGTGGAAATTAATATCAGACAAATAGTCTACACGCAAGTTTCTAAATGTGGAGGGGAAAACCGGACGACCCGGAGAAGAATCCACTCTAACTCGCAGAGAATATGCAAACTAGAAACACCAGGCGAGGAAGATTACATCACCACACCGTGGCGCGCCCCTTAAATAAATAAAAATAAACATATAAGTTCCAATTGTATACTACAGCAGCCAAAACATCGCCCCCATGTTCCAAGAAATGTACCTCGATAAGTAAACCGTCAATATCCGAAACACGTGTTCGATAAAGCAAGCGTTGGGAAAGGTATGGCTACTCTATACGTACTGCGAGTACGTTTAACTTCTTTTGCACCGTACGTAGCCAACCACAAAAAAAGCATTTCGATGTAAAGGAGACGCTTTGTCTGCTTGCCTGTTTTGTTGCGTGGTTCTGTCTCCTCCGCCCTTGTGTGTGCGGGGAGATAAGAGGGGAAGGAACCAGGTTGGTTGGTTCGTGGGGACAAACGGATTGGTGCTCGGCTATGGCCTGAACACGTGTGAAACGTGGCGAGTTGCCGGATACACCATCACCGCATGTGTGGTATGCCGACCTTACCATCCCCTAGCCACTGTGACGCCCACGGTGGCTAGGAGATGTTAACCCCTTCGCCTGGTGTACAGGAAGTCGTGGGTGCGATCCCGACCCGGACAGCTGCTGTATATTTGGCGTTTGCGTGTCTCTCTTCCCGTGGTCGCGTGGAGTTTACTCCGAGTCCTCCGGTTTTTCCCCTCCACATTTGGCAACGTGCGTTTAGATTATTTGGTCGCTGTAAATGTCCACACGGTAAGCCACTCTGTTGAGCTATCATTCGTGGCCAGGTCGCTTCTGAAAAAGAGCTACGTAGCTCAGTGGG